AACTGGAATCGGATCGGGTGCAAGCTGTGAAGGGGGTGTAAGGAGTTGTTTGGTTGGGAGTGAAGTATGACAACAAAATGCAGAGATACACATGGGGAGAGAATGATGCAAAGAAACACGTGTACGTCCACACTGCATCACAGAGCAGCACTGAGAAGAGAATGGTTTGACAAGCAGGTATTGCACTGACTCACCATTAATCCAACATAGCTGCAAATCCTGTAACGGTGACAACATCGTTTTCACTGGAGAATTACAGGAGAAAGATGCATGGTCTAGCTCTCCAGATGTGCGAGTATCAAACTGAAAAGCTTGGCCTACAGATGCAGTGACAGTTTGCTGGTGGGGGCTGAGCTGTGGCTCTCCCACTGCAACCCAACAAACCTCCCGACTTCTTTGGGTCTTCTAGGAAGATGCTTCGCTCACCCAGTGGTAAAAGAATGAGATGTAAATGAATCACCGTCCTTCTTGGCTCCTGAGTGCTTGTTTCGATCTGACATCTATCTCATTGCTGCTATCTCACTGTCATTAAGGGACCACAGCCATCAGGAAGGAGGAACCCCAGACAGGAGCACATCCAGGTGTGCTCAGTGGGAGACACACTGGGCTGAACTGGAGACTGGCTGCGTTCTGAGATCTGCAGAAAGCAACGTCAGTGGGTATCTCTGTGGGGCTGTGGGACTGATAATGTCCCAAATACAAGAGTGCTTTTGGTATGAATTAAAGCTCAATGTCAGCAGCTAGCAGAGATGTCAATTAAATGTCAGGAAAAAAAAGTCAATAGCCATTGAGTGCTTCAGCTGGGAAGGCCAGCCAGCCAATTTCCACACAAGGATGTGCAAGTGCTGTGGATTTTCGTCAGACATAGAGGTGGCAAATGGAGAAAGAAAGAAAAGGCACAGGGATTGTGCAGGAGCTACTGACAGTGGCTGCAATGATGGTAACAGGGTGATTATTCAGCCTCTGTCACATTATTTAATTGGTCTCCAAACTCTCTCCAGATAATAGGAGACCCATTTTTACAACTCTCCTGCTGGGCCACTCACACATATTCAAAAACAGGCACAGTGATAAGTTGGGATTCATCGCACTGACCTTCCCCATGCTCAGGAATGCAGGCACAGATGGAAGATGTATTCAGCCCTGCCCTTTGGGATTCATACCACCATCGTGTTCCCAGTGGGTACATGCCTTTCCTCTTTTCAGCATGAAGAAACTGATTTTGACTGGTCCCTGGGTTTATTTTCATGTTTGTCTATGGGAAGCAGGCAGTCTCAGATACAGCTGTCACTGCTGCAGATTTATCTTGGTGAAAATTCCTGCTTTGGTTTTGCAAGTGTTTTAATTAACGTAAATTATTTTACTACACTTTACCATTGATAGCATATAATTATCTCCCCACAGGTATATATTTAGTGAACCAGCAGGCTGATCAAGGACCTACAAAATAAAGTGGTTTTGCAACTGACAAGACGTACAAGCAAAGGCCGGCAAGATGGGCCCACAGGAGGTGGGCAGTCCTGAACACACGGCTTACATTTCCCCATTTGGAGGAGGTAATCATAACATTCAATTACACATTTCATCAAAGAAGTGTGAAGATGCCTCAATACTTATGTGCTGAGAAAGAGAAAAGAGCGACGTACATGCTAAACTATTAATTATTGGTAAGCAGTCTTCTTTGTAAAGTGTTTTGAGGTTGACTACGGAAAATGGCTCTGCAATAACACACAGCAATCCTATGTTCATTCTCTTAACTGCTTCTGCTGGGTCAGTCTTTAGATATCATTGTCAGTGCAAGGGAATTCATTTTCCTGAGGACTTGTGGCCATGGAAGAGTTCCCAAACTCCACACCCATCTCTCATCCTATTCCCCCCAGCAGCCAGCTTTCACTGCAGGCACTTCTTGAGATGAACCAGGTTGAGACCTATGAGACTATGCAGTGCAGCAGCACTGCTCTCACCACATCAAACTGCTCATGCACTTTGAAAACAAGATTGGATCAAGCTACTTTTTCCACGAGTTGCCAGTTGATAAAACATGCCGCTCTCCATTGAGCTGCCTGTGTTCCATGATTTCTTTTTCTCCTTGATGGCTGCAGCCACTCAGCCTGTGATAGTGGGAAGACATCGGCTCGAAATAACTGTTTGGGAGCCAAGAAGCATCCTATGCCAAACCGCGTGTGTCAGAACTTTATCTGTCCGCTTGTGTAGGTTTGATCCTTTATTAAAAGCACAGGGTGCTTTGTCATCAGTCTGAGTGGGCGCAGGATCAGGGAGGTAAATCCTCGTCTCTTGACCTTCCTGAAGGCCACTCTGTGCTACTTTGTATGGCTACAGACACTGCGTCTGCATCTGGCTACTGCATCGCTGACCGTCCCTACCCGGTGAGACCCTGCATTTCAAAGGGTGAAATGCACCCAGGCTGAAAACATGACACAGCCCCTAAGATCTTACAGTCTGAGGGAGGTCGTGTTCTGCTTTATGCTTCGCCTTTTAATCAAGAGTGTTACTTAACTTTTCAATCCACAACTGCGTCTTCGGAGTGAAAGCTGCAGTATTATGTGCTATGGTTGCTACAGGAGAAAGGAAACGTCTTTCGTATTTACTGACGTCCTTTGCAAAATACTCTGGGTTTTTTGAATGATGTACTCGCTATTATTTCCATGCCATTACTTATAAACTTCAGAGCACTTTCTGGAGGGAACTTGAGCAAGATGAAAACCTTGGGGCAACAATCCATTAGGCTTTTATTTTTATAGGCTGGGTTAAATCTTCTTGAAACTGGTAGATTTAACTGCATTCCTTTATTTAGGGTCGCTGAAGGAGACATTAAATCTGTGTTTCTAACCACAGGCTCGTGCACCTGAAGGCTCAGAGGGGACAGTCTTGGGCAGGACATTAAAAGGAAAGAGATTTTGTGTAGATGGACAATCTGATTCAGGTGAAGAAGACAACAGAAAGAGAGCGTGTTGAAACAGGCAGGGAACGGAAGCTCTGAGCAGCCTGAACAATCACTGATACAAAACCTGGACTGAACACAAGACACAGAGGGGCTTGGGGTCACAGTGCTGCCGGGAACAGGTGTGGAGCTGGAAGCAAGGAAGCTCTCAGCTGTGTGATTTCTTCTGCATTCAGGAAAGGAGGGCTGGGAGCATTCTTGTAAGCACGCAGAAACACAACAGAAATACCTTTCTTCATCACTCCTCCTCCTCCAATCTGAATCAACCAGTGAGACCTTGAACGTTAGCCAGCAACACAGGTCAAAGGGAGGAAATGTGCTGCAAAACCTCCCACACATCTGCACCATTTAACTCTTCCTGCTTGGTTTGGGATTAAGATGGCACAAAGACAGCAGCTCTTCTCCCTCAGTTCACCAGAGCAGGCAGTTCGGGCCGAGGTTTAGGGCACTTCTGTCCCTAATTGCTTTGCAGATGAATCATTTTATGGCCTTCCTTTGCTATCGTAACAAATCAAACTTCCCCAGGCTTTGCTGTAAGCGGTTTGAACAACGCTGTGTGCTCCGCAGGGAACTCTTTAAAATGAGGCACCTGCCATTGGCTTTTCTCCTGTAGGTGAATTAATTTGCCTTGCATGAGTAATCCTATTTGAAACTACAGGTTGCCTTGCAAGAATGAGGGAAGCAAGTCTAAAGCATGCTTTTATGCAAGTGCAGCAAAAAGGCCACATAGCAGTTCATGAGGGGACACTTCTGCAATAAAACTGCAGTTGCCAGTAACTGCAATAATAGAATAAAGGATAATTTAATAAAGGGATTTTTAACTCATTTAACAGTGACTACATTCAGAACACTTTCTCCAAGTGATCAGGCACACTATGCTTTCCTAACTCTACTTTCTGTTAATAAGTCAGCGAAAAAAAGCAGGCAGTAGTCTCCTTCTTCTGCTTTTATTGTTACATTGCAGGAGAGCACTGTTCAATGTAAAGAAATTGATTTGGGTAAGATGAAGGACTGAGATATAAGCTGGACACCCAGGCCAGCCCTGGAGTAACATGAATCACACAGTGCCATCTCAAAACGACAGCAGTCAGCTCCTTGAGTACCACGTAAGCCTAAGACTAAATGCAAAGATCCTGCAATGACTACAGGAAATCCTACGGGACTCCGCAACCTAAGCAAAGTAAAAGGTGCAAAAATGGGTCACACGGTGCTCAGATAGGAGCTGTGCATCTTGAATTTAGTCTCCACCATCTCTGCTCAGTTGAAGCAGTCCCTCTGCGGTGCAGGTTTAACACCTGGGAGATCTCGTGTACTGGCTGGCTCGCCGCTCCCTGCTGCATCAGTTCGCCGATGGAGCTCAGCACAGCGGAGAACCGAGCCTGACGCTGCCCTGGAGCTGAACGATTCGATGGGAAACCTCTAGAGGTCGGGCGAGCTTCGAGCCTCGCTGCACAGCTCGCTGCCTGCCAGTGACACCTGCCGGGCTCCTGCGCGTCCCGGAGCCCTTACAGAGCCGTGGTGGCACGGGGCGAGCTGGGTGCCTCCCAGATATGGGCACAGCTGGGAGGGATTGTCCCCCTCTGCTCTGCCCTCGTGAGGTCCCACCAGGAGCACTGCGTCCAGGGGTCCCCAGCACACGGATATGGAGCTGCTGGAGCGGGGTCTGCAGAGGGCACGGGGATGTCAGAGTGGAGCGCATCTGCAGTGGGCGCGGGCTGAGAGCTGCGGGTGTCCAGCCTGGGGAAGAGAATCTCCAGGGAGACCGCTGCAGCCTTCCACTACCTAAAGGGAGCCGATAAACAGCAGGAGAGTGACTTTTAACACGGTCTGATAGCGATAGGACAATGGAGATGGTTTTAAACTGGAAGAGAGGAGATTTAGGTCGGATGCAATAGGGAAATGGTTCACTTGGAGGGCGGTGAGGCGCTGGCACTGCTTCCAGAGAGGTAGCTGCCCCATCCCTGCCGCTGCCCGAGGTCATGACTCCGTAATAAGCAACATCAATGTACGCCCTCCAGCCCCGCTCCGCCCCACCCAACATGGCGGCGCCCCATGCCCACCCGCCGACCCTCCTCCCGTCAGCCCCTGCGTCGCGCCCCCTTCCCGTCTCGCCCCGCGGTGGCGCACGGCACGACAAGATGGCGCAGCCGCCGGGTGAGTGCTGCGGGCCTCCAAGGTGACCGCGGCTCCTCGGCTCTCGCTGACCGCGCTCTGTTTCTTTATCCCGCAGTTCCTCTGAAGGACATGAAGCTGCTGGACGTCAAGCTGGGCCAGCTGCCCAGCTGGCTGGCTATGAGGGACTTCACCCCCGGCGGCATCGCGGGCGCCTTCCGCAGAGGTGAGAGAAGCGGGGCTGTGGCAGCAGCTCTGACAGTGCCCTGTGCTGTGCGTGCGGCTTCAAAACAACAAACGCTAGCGTCTCCGTACAGTGTGTGTTAGCATTGAAGAGTCAGGTAATCCCGAAGTAGCATGAGCTTGTTAGGGCCGTGCTAAAGTTTGGGGAAAAAGATCGTTTTTACCTTTTTTTTGGCTTGCACTGACACGGTGCTTCACCAACACACGTTGCTTTCTCTCAGACTTGATTCTGAGACCCCTGGGTCTTTCCGGAAGCCTTTTGCAATCAGCATCTTTCTTTCTGACAGAAAACTGTTCATCTGGCTGCTGTGAAAACCTCCTTTCTTCTCCGCAGGTTATGAGAGGTATTACAATAAATACATCAACGTGAAGAAAGGGGGCCTTGGTGGTATCAGTATGGTGCTTGCAGGGTATGTTGTCATGAGCTACATCTGGAGCTACAGTCACTTGAGTAAGTAAAAACTATGGCTGAATGTGGGGCAGCTTGGTGATTGCCTGGGGCAGTGAAAACAGTAAACTTTGTAACTGCTCTTAGAAATGAAGTCAAAGAGCATCTTAAGTGTTGTCACTTCAATCTGATGCTGTCTAGAGAAGCAAATTGAATACTTCTAATTGTCAGATAACCCACACTTTCTTGGTGTTGAAAGAAGTGTAGCTCTTATCGCCTCTTTAACCTGATGGTGCTTAAAAGCTACACACTTAGATTTCCCCTGGAGTGCTTTCTTTGTGTGTGTGAAATCCATGGATTTTTTTTCTTGTTGCAACTTCTTGTTGTTTTACTTTGATACAGAGCATGACCGGCGCAGGAAGTATCACTGAAACATGGAATTCAGAAAGTGAAGGTGCAGCTTGTGGCCACTGGGACATTCATCCTGACAGAAGGCAACTGAACTGTCATTCATTAAAAAAAATCTCTACTGTTGTGACCAATAATAAAGTGCATACACTTTACACTTGCTGAACTGAACCTGTCATAAATGGCTTGTTAATTTGACTGTGTGGGTGAGGTTTGTCTTCTCAATTTTGCACCTCACAAGGGTAAGTTTGGGAAAAGTTCCTGCTACCTAGGCTGCATTATGAATTGAGGAAATTATTACAAATGGTTTGCATTCAGCTCTTTGATAAGAAGCAAACAAATGCTTTTTACTTCTGCTGGTCTAACTGTTAAAAGGTTGGACAGCTAGATGAGAGGATATAATATTTTAAAGAATATCTTAGAGGCTTTCAGAGGCTTGGTGTGGCTGTGTAATTCTCCATCTGTCTGTCACCTGGGGCCCAGAGGCATTTGGACAGTTTTCCACCATCTGAGACAGGTTCAGGTTTGTTACCTGTTAAACCATTTCTGTCAAAACTATAGCTGTGTTCATTTACTTACAGCAGCTGGGAGGGTTTTCTGAACAGGTATAAGCCTAAAGGAGCTGTGATATAATGAAAGTCCATTAAAAATGGAAAACTGCTGATTGACTTAAATGCACAATTGCAATTTAAAGGAGCAGCTGTGGATTTGGCCCCACCTGATTAGCTTCCTCATGCTTTCCACTGAGCAGGTGCATCTTAAGAAGCCTGTTGTACCTGGGTGCTGCAGGTACAGTCTGCAGTATTTTTCTCATAATAGGAGCAAGAATGAAAACCATGAGCTAAGGAATACAAATCTCTTGAGCTTTATCAGTAAGAGAAAGGCTTTTCAGTTGCAGAAAACATCTTTTCAGGGAGTGAAGACTTTAAGTCTCCCTGAACTAGATGGGAATGGTAACTAGACAAGGGTTTGCTCCCTTTCCACGCACCTAGTTACATGCAGGTGTCATTTAGTTTGGCTGCTGTTCAGCATGAAGGGACACAACATAGTAAGCAAATTCTTGACAGTTTGCTGTAATACAGTCTCTTAGTCTCAGAACTTCTATTTTGACTGACTCTGAATGCACACAGTGAAACAATGGCTGCCATTCAAACCAACATAGGCTCTGGTCACTTCTTCTAATTTAACCATGTTGCCCTACTTAAAAAGAAAATAATCACAGACAGCTTTTTCCATCCGTACATTTCAATAAAAACAAGGTACAAAGGCAGTCAGCAAATGAGGGGTTATCATCAATAAGGCTCACATAGGTGCAAGTTGTTGGTTTTTTTTTTAATTCACATTTTATCATTGGCCCTTTTGAAATAGTTGTCTCACAAAACAAATGGGTTTTGGCTTGCAGAGGTACGATCTCAGAAGAATGTTCTACCACTTTTAAAAAGCAGTGTTCCATAAAAATATACAGCTCCACTTCTTGGTCTTCTCTAGGCTACAGAAATACCTGTTTGGTGTGAGCTGAATGACAGGGGTGCTGAGAAAAGGCTCTTTTGTTCCTACACTTTAAACTGTGTTCATTTCCCTGTGTTTTTTTGCAAATGGAAAATGAACACAGATGTGAATTTCCCAAAATCATTTCTTATTATTTGGCCAACTGCAGAGATGCCAATTTATTCTTCCCAAATCAGTTCTCACCCAGAAGATTAATTTCTAACCTTCAGTATAGCAAGAAACACAAAAACAAAGTGGACAAGAGTTTTATAGCCTGGTGCATGTGAGGCATTAAGTCAATCACCAGGACAAGCTCACAAGACTGGATCTAGGAACACAACTTCACTTTGTAAGAGCAGGACAGCAGAATTCCTCACTGAAGGGAAGGCATTTCAAGGACTAATTTTCCCAGTCAGTCTTTCTGCTTCCACAGGGAGTGCTGAAATGCTGCAGGTTCTCCAAAGAGAAGTGGCAGGAGGAAAACATTAAAAAAAAAAACCACCAGGGTCAGCTGTATTTACATGGAATGCTGCACCGGTGAGGGCTTTGCGTGTCTGTTTGCTTTTAGATCTGCCTTTCAGCAGGGCTCAATGAAAGTAGACGGAGGCCAAAATCTATTTTAAAAAGGTTAAAACATAAAAAAAGTTGTGGACAATTACAAAAATGTTGCTTAGCAGCAGCCAGCCTCTGACCAGTTCTTTCAGTAATGGCATTAAAAAACCAACCTGATTAATAGTTCAAGAAATAGTGCAAGGCAGAAACCTTTTCTCAGTGTTAATAGCTCCCTTGCACTCTTCTTTCTGCTCTTTCACTGTCCACTGAGAAAGGCCAGATGTCCTTTGGTGCATCTGTTGGCATAATGACCTTTTTCACCACACTAAAAAAAAGAAGAGAGAGAGAGGTTTTTAGAGTTACAGATTCTTTCTCTTGCTGCCTTTAACAAGCAGCTTTTAACAGCTTTTCCGTGTATGGAAGATGCAGCATTCAGTCAGTGAGTCAGTGAACTGGTGTCAAAAGAGCCACAACTTATGGACTATTTCCACTCCCTGGAGCAAAAGCTGCTTCTGTGCTGGGATCAATCACTACCACGTTATTGTATGACAAACCCAGTGCACTGCTGCAAAGAGCTGTGACATACAATGTTAATTTCAGTATTTGAGGCTTCCAAGACTATTCCACTTAACATGTAAACTGCAATGGAGATTTATAATGGGGGCTCAGCTGATCCTGGATTGCACAGTTAAAAGTGCATCTAAACAAGAAATTTGTGACATTGCACCTTAGGGCTATTCAAAGCCAGAGGGAAACATCAGCCTCTGATATTACAGCATTCTCCACTGTAGTGGAAATTTAAGTCAGGGCTTGAAGCAGTGATTGAGCACCTGGTGGGAAGGCAGGGCCAACCCAGGGGAGCTCAGGTGTGTGCAATGCATCTGAGTGGCTGGAAGGGTAGAGCCAGGATCCACCCCTTCCCAGACCTCATTTAAGGGCTGGCAGTGGAAGCAAGAGGATCTCACTGGAGATCCCTACCTACTGGAGGCCTTTTAAAGGTAAGCAGTTTTTCTTCCTTTGTGTCTGCAGATTCTGTGTTTGAACTCGTTCTTTCTTACTACAGCCTAGGATTGTGTCTCTTTGTTATTACTGCTGTACTTCACATTATAGCACTACATCCACACATGTAGTTTACTTGCTTCCTTAAATCCTTGCTTATTTACTGGAGAGGAAGTAGCCTTAAACAGAGATATGGCTTTTGAAAGCTGTATTTGCAGAAGACTGGATTTGATTCAGCTTCTTAATATCCTCGTCCAGTCATAATAACTGCTGCTCAAGCAAGCAACCAGCAACAAAGCAACATGAGATAATCCAGGTGATACGTGTTCTTATTACTTAAATGTGGTACCCCTGCTTTCCCTCCCTTCTGAATTACCTTGTAACAGGTGACCTGCTCCAATGGCCGGGGTCCTCTGTTCCCAGTGTTGTTATTTTGAGATTGCATGACTCCAATAACTTGGGGTGTCCTCTGTTAGTTAAGAGAAGAGTTCTGATTCATTAAGCGCATCAAGGACAATGATTTTTTACACCTCTTATTTTCTTAACAAGAGAAAAGAACACCCCACATATTGAACGATCCGTTTTCCTCCCAGTCTGTGTGGGTGATCTGCCAGCTGGAGCACCAGAGAGAAGAAACCAAAAACTAAGGATTACAAAACCCAGCAATCCTGCTTTTCTCTGAAGAGCAGCTTTAGAGAATTGGTTTGGGCTGCTAAAATATCATTGCCATGACTGAGATGTCATGCAGATTACAAAAACTGGCAGATGGTTGCATAACCACACATGACATGCTTCTGTTCTACAGGAGCATTCTGTGATTAGATCTTCATGTTATATTAGAGCAACTGTAAGACTTTCATTGCTATAATGGCCTCTTCTAAAGCACTGTGGAAAATGCTTTGAGAGTAGGTGTGTAGGAAGCAGGGGAGTTGTGTACCTTTTGCTGTGTTTGTGCTGGCTGAGGCAGTGGTGGTTGCTCTGTGGTTCCCATAGGTAGTTCAAATCGAGGGCTGTTTTAGGCAGAAATAAAGATTCTCAAATTATACACCAACATTTTTTGCATCAGCTCAGTTAAAAAAAAAAAAAAGACTCCAAACAAAATGTTCAGCTAATTAAATTAGATTTATGGAAAACGGACCTTTCCCCAGTTATCATTCTGGTGCTCAGTATTTATGCTTGCTAAAACAATATGCCAGTAACCAAAAGTCTTCTGTAACACAAGCTCATGCAATCCCACCACGGCATCTGAGCACCACTTCAGTGTCTTACTGGTAGCTCTCTGGGGAGGACAAGCACCACGTCCTCCCAGCGAAAACAGACTGTGATACCAAGTGTTGGCTATCTCTACAGAACCACTGGGAAGCACTGGACACCCCCGTATGACAACATCAGGTTAAGTGGAAGCATCATTAAAGAGCAAGCCTGCAAACATACTCACTGCATGAATTTACAGGTAGGCCCTTCTGGACAGAATCCTACTAGGTAATTCACACAAATGACTCTTCGAGTGTGCCGGTGTCTGCAGAGTGGACCTGCAACACAAAGCTCCATGGTTCGTGTACCATACATGTGCACTGCAGTGTTAAATAGCAGCAGGCACACTAGGCAGATCATGCAATGAAATAATAGCAATGCCCTCCTCTTACAGCCACAGAAGCAGCAGCTATACGACATACATACCGTGTTTACAGAAGCCTCTGTCATACCAGGGACAGTCTTTGATCTTAGATTCCGGGTCAATGTGCAAGAATGGACATTCTTTGTTACTGCATTCCCCTGTACCAAAGGCAAATGCACTTCTTAGTTAATGATGCAGGCTCAAGATCAAATAACTCCTAAAATGTTACCTGGATCACACAGCTCCCACAAAGCTGTTACCAGCATTCATAAGTTCAGGTACAACAGTCTTATTGCCTGACTTAACCTAGAGGATGAACACCAACCACTCACCACTAGTGAGTGAAGTCCTACCAGACTGGATTACTTATGTGAGCTTTTAAAAACAATGTGGAAACTGATCTCGAGAGTCATGATAACAAAAAACCAACATTTAGTGCACCAAAAGTGTGGAGAAACTACAAATTGCACACTAACCTCAATCCAAGGAAACCTACAAGACTGTAGGTTTCTGACAGCAAGTTGCCTCATTATGTCCAGATCTCCAGAGCTGGAAAGCAAGTGCATAAAAGTTTTGCACCCCCATGCCCTCTGCTGCTCATCAACTCCCCAAAACAAGATTCATGCAAAGACCACCTGCTCATCCTACTCAACTCATGCTAAAAAGAGGAATATAAAGTACAAAACCCAGTGATCAATGTGAACTTCCTCCCTCTTCCCTACAGTGACAAGCTCTTGAGAGAGAAGACATCTACAACACGTGGTGGACTTAGGGGAATAAAAAGATAAAAGAGCTAAGCAGACCTGAAAAACTACAACCAAACAGTGTCAGCAGACATGGAAGAACTGAAATATTCTGAAGATGGAATAAGAGGGATGCACCAGGATCCTCTTCACCAGACTCCCACACTTGCAAGGAACACTAAGTAGGAGCTACAACACTTCTTACCAAATTTGGAGTAGAAGTAACACTCAGGCATCTTGGTCATGTCATACTCGTGCAGAAACTCGCACTGGTCTCCCTTTTTGCATAGTCCTCGTAGCCAGTGTTTGCAAACAACAGTCTTTTCCCCACTGATGTGTCTGAATGGGCACATACCTCCTACATGAGGATGGGATAAGGAAAATGAGAAAGAACAATTAAAATCTGCAGCACAAGCAGAAATACAACAGCAGTGTTCCACTTGCCTCTACAAGAATTCAGTTTTTCTTATGACTTGCTTTTAATGCAATGACAAACAAGGACATCCAGGCAAGTCCTGTTTTACCCTCAAACAAGCTGAGCACCGTAGTCTCCAGCTTTTAATCCCAGCAACCACAACCCACAGATATTACAGCAGTTACATCCACAGCAAACCCCACATGATTTGTGGAGTTAACCCAATATGCTTCATTTTTATCCTCTTCCTCAGCCCTCGGCTTAATAAAACCCATCATTATCATAGCACTAGCAAATCTAATTCTCCTCCCTGCTATGTGAGTGTAAGTGTACTGGAAATACAACTTGCCTTTCCCACATGCCGCCTTTAAAAAAAATTCACAGACAGCTGCACCTGATTCTGCGGAGAGAAGAAAGATAATAAATGTTAACAAACTTTTGTAGGAGCTTTCGAAGTATTTTCTTCCTGAAGAAATTATCAAGCCCTCAAATTCAAAAGAGAAATAGCATTTTGGTTTAAGAAATTTACATTCCTGCATGGATTCTTTGTTCAGGTCTGGCCTTCACAAATATCTGTATTCTCCTCAATGAATACACAGCAGGGAAATTTGCAAAGTTCATTAGTTCTGTTTATAGACTTTCTGACTTAGGTTCTGCTGGCTGGGCGCTTACTATTAAACCAATTGCTGTAGTGAAATGTGTTTAGAGCTCTGGCAACTCTGGTCTTGTACTTTCTCAGCAGAAAAGCCTGAACCAATCATTGCTGCGTTATCCCTCGCTGACCAACAGGAATCACAGCATTGAAGGGAGCAACATGAGGTCAGCAGCACTGACACAGAACATCAGCAAACTGTTGAGTCTCCCAGGACTATTTGTATTGGTTGACAGGTTGGAGAAGACCTCTACGATGACCAAGTCCAACCAGCCCATCCTCTCCATGCCCACCAACCGTGTCCTTCACTGCTACATCCCCACATTCTCCATACCTCCAGGGACTCCACCATCTCCCTGGGCAGCATGTTCCAATGCATTACATCTCTTTTGGAGATTAAATGTTTTCTAAATACCCAACCCGAACCTCCCCTGGCGCAACTTGAAGCCATCACCTCTCATCCTACTGCTGTTACCTGGGATCAGAGGCCGACCCTCACCTCACCACAACCTGTAGGGGTGATGTGGTCTCCCTTGAGCCCCCTCCATCTCCAGACTATCCAGGAAAGCGTTATGACACCAGACCATGAACCCACCTACAGCTTCCCTGCGGCCAAAACACCTCATCTACCAAAACGGAAATAAAACAACAGCTTGGGAGAGCAGTGTTTATTCACATGAATGCCTCAACTTTGCTTCCATCCCAGCTTGGCACAAACTACAAACTACAGACATGCAGCACCCGGCAGAACCTCGTGGGGCAGCAGGAGCTGAGGGGACACGAGGACGGGAGCCCGGCACAGGGCCCGGGAACCCCCCCACCACCCCGGGACAGGGACAGAGGCACCCCGGAGAGGAAAGGCCGCGCCCTGAGCCCACACGCACTGTCCATGCCGGGAAAGGGCAGCGGCTGCGCCCCCAGCTGCTGCTCCACCGCCAGCTCCAGGTCGAACTTGATGTGGTCCACGCTGGCGATGAGCTCCTGCATGGTGGCAGCCGGGGGGCGACGGCACCGGGAGGGAAGGGGGGGAATGGTGGGGGCCGGCTGCGGCCAGGCCCGGCCTGGCCTGGCCCGGCCCAGCCTGCTTCGTTTCGGCAGCGCCTCAAAGAGTAAAGGCGGCCGCGCGCGCCCCGCGCCGCGCCGCCCGCCTGTCCCGGAGGATGCCGGGAAACCACCTCCGCCTCCGGCCACCCGGCAGGCAGCGCGCCCGCGCGGCTCTCCGCCAATCAGATGGCGGCGTGGCGCTCTAGGCACGCCTCTTCCGGCCGCGCAGGCGCCGTGGCGCTACGGTGGCCGTGAGGGGGTGTTGCCACACGACCGGCGGGTTCCGCCGCGCTCCCGTTATGAGGCCCGCGCGGCTCCTCCTCCTTCCCCTCTCGCCCCTCGCTTGGTGGTGCTGCCGCGCCGCTGCTCGGCCGCCCCTCGGCCCGCTCTGTTCCCCCAGGCCGAGCCTCCCGCCGCTACGTGGCCTGAGGGCGCTGAGCTCGTCACAGTTGCCCCCTGAGGTGTGTGGTGCGAATGGGAAGGGAGGCGAAGCGGGAGGCCCCGCCAGAGCTGCGGGCGGTGAGGAGAAGAATGATGAGGATGAGGATGATGAGGGTGTGGAGTTCGGGACGCTGTCTACAAAGTTCTCTTCTAGAAAATATTACCGCAAAACCACGTCAGTGTTTCGGAACTTAAAGCTTGAAGAGGATGGGGAAGAAGAAGGGGAAAGGAGGCTGTGGCGCGGCCCCAGGAACACTCCGTACTGGTACTTCTTGAGGTGCAAGGCCCTCATCAAGGAGGACAAGGTTTGCTCTTTGCTTATTTGGGTTTTAATGACTTTTGATCCACGTGAATGAACACTTTTGTGTTAGGATTAGAGTGGTTCACTTAGGAGGGGCTTGCAGAGATCACCAAGTTCCTCTACCTGACCATCTTGGGGCTGGACTGAAGTCTAAGTTGTACCTGGAAGATGTGCTCTGATGGTGTGTGTAGCAGCTGGGTTCTGGTGCTGGGCAGATCCTCCCCCCTTCCTACTCCTGCCTTCCCTTTATGGCCGACCCTCTGTGCTCAGCACAGTTGAGGCCACACCTCAAGTACTGTGTTCAATTTTGGACCAAAAAAAAAAAAAAAAAAAATGTGGAGAAAGCCCTGGAGTGTGTCCAGAGAAGGGTAATGAAGCTGTGAGGGGTTTAGAGCACGAGTCCTATGGGGAGCAGTTCAGGGAGCTGGAATTGTTCAGTCTAGAGAAAAAGGGACTCTGAGGAGACCTCACTGCTTTCTGCTCCCTGAAAGGAGGTTGTAGTGAGATGGGGGTTGGCCTCTGATCCCAAGTAACTGATAGAATGAGAGGTGATGGCCTCAGGTTGTGCTAGGGGACGTTCAGCTTGGGTATTAGGAAACATCTTCTTGGAAAGAGTGGTAATGCATTGGAGCCAACTGCCAGGGAGGTGGTGGAGTCACCATCCTTGGAGGCGATTGAGAACTGTGGAAATGCGGCACTGAGGGACTGACAGATAGGACTCAATGATCTTAAAGGCCTTTTCCAACTTAATGATTCTATTGTGCTACATGTTTCGTTATCATCTTTACAAAAAGAAGGAAAACAAGAATTTATGAGGAATTCTGTGCTCTGTAGGATTTCTGACTGCAGCTAAGACTACTCATATCTATTGTAACTGATTCTCTTGTTGCCTTATAATGGATTTTCCTTTTCTCTGTAGCTAGCAGAGGCCCTGGAGCTGTTTGAGGTGCAGATGCTGAAGGAGGAGCGAGTGAAGCCAGAAGAGAGCAATTACACTGTTCTAATTGGCGGCTGTGGCAGGGTTGGCTACGTGAAAAAGGCATTCAGACTCTACAATGATGTAGGTTTACGTTCTCTCTTCTCTTGAACCTTCATTAGGTTTTCTCAGCTACTACATCTGTTTCTAGCATTTGGTCCTGTTTTTCTCTCCAAAATGCCTTTGAGCTAATGTTCACCTTTTCTTAGCCTCAAGCTCTTAAAACCAAACGATGAAATAACTCTTTTCCTAAAAGCTACTTCCACATCTTCTCTTCCCTTAGATGAAAAAGCGAGGCTTAACTCCTACTGAGCCCACATACACAGCACTGTTCAATGCCTGTGCAGAATCACCATGGAAAGACTCGGGCCTGCAGAGTGCGCTCAAACTACGGCAGCAGCTGAAGGACAAAAACCAGGAGTTGAACCTGATCACTTACCATGCATTACTGAAAGTCTGTGCGCTGTGCTCGGATCTCAGGATGTGTTTTGATGTATTGAAGGTAAATACAGGACTTTTCTTGTGTTCTGTTCTAATTAAAGCTCTTGGAAGTTGCAATATTGCATTATCACATTGCAGAAATTTTTGCAGTGATAATTACTGACCAGGTGTTTGTGTTTCATTGACTTTGGTCTCATTCAATTAAATTATCTTGATACTTACCAAGGTCAAGTACATAAAATGATGCCACACACATCAACAGCTGTGACAGTTTGAGTACCTGGGAAGTCTAATGCTCTCTCTCCTGTTCTTTAGGAAATGGTGCGCAAGGGCCACGTTCCCACAGCTGAGACCTTCAGCTTCCTTCTAATGAGCTGCATAAAGGACAGTGAAAGTGGCTTCCGATATGCCTTACAGGTTTGTCTTTATGTGCTAAATGGCAAGAAAAAGGCACAGTACAGCAATTTCACAGAGCTGATGAAATGAGGTACTCAGCTCCTCCTGGGGCAAGTTCTGCAAATCAGACACCCTTCAGGACATTGTGTAAGATGTTGGAGAACCCTGGAGGACCTCACAGGGCTGTACTGGCTTGAGGTGGCTGTTCACTGCCCACTGGCATCTCAACTTATCGTGCTATAAACTTCCTTTTCTGCAGGTAGATAATGTAAGAGTATGCACTGTAAGTATGCTTACAGTCTGCTAGAAATGCTCCTGTTATTTGCTGTTATGTATGTTTGTTCCTTTTTCCCTCTTCAGGTTTGGAAACAAATGACTAAGCTGGGCATAAAGGCCGATAGCCACAGTTACAATTTGATGCTGCGTGCTGCAAGAGACTGTGGAATAGGTGATCCAGCTGTGGCTTCTAAAGTATTGCTGAGACCCACCGATGAGAACTCACCTCAACTGAGGCTTGCACCTGGCAGGCAGAAGGTGAAAAATCAGAGAAAGAAGGGAGAAGAAGCTGCACCAGTTGTCCAGCTGGATGTGGAAGCCATGGAAAAGCAGTTATTTCAGGAAAATTCAATGCAGCCTGAAAAACTGATCGTGCAACAAAACAAAGATGTGAATCAGGCTGAAAATAAACCAGTACCAACTGGTCTTGACAGCCCTAATGTAAGTCACAGCAGGACTGGAGCACTGATGAGGAGAGGCCAAGATGAGGCACAGCAAAAACAAGCTTATCTAAGCCAGAAGCTGCATTTCTGCAACCTGCCCAACCTGCTGGATTCACAGATAGCTGATGCAGATGTGGTTTCCTTGGGGACAGTATCCACACCATCTGATAGACTGTCTTTGATGGGAGATGTGGAGGGTTTCTTGAATAAAATGAAAGAGGACAATGCAGAACCTGACATTAAAACATTTACTTTACTGGCGGAGCTGGTGGAACCCCAGAGCCCATCGGAATCCTCTTTGCTGGCACTCCTTGATGAACATAAAGTGAAAGTAGATGTGACATTCTTTAACACTTTAATAAGGAAGAAAAGTAAACGTGGAGACCTAGAAGGAGCCAAGGTGAGGAACTCGGAACCAGCCATGTTGCTGTTTTCTTGTCCCAGGCCTCCAGTGGTGCCTGTGTTTCACTGTGAGACCTGTTTCTCTGTCCACAAGATAAACTGAGAATCTTACACTGTTTTTCACTAGCTGGCACTACGGTGGAGCTTCTTGGGAATTGATGCCACATTTGTATCTTACAGAGCCTTCTGTCAGCTCTTGCAGAGAGGAGAATATCGCCTAACCTCCAGACATTTTGCAACTTAGCAATTGCTTGCCACCAAAAGAAAGATGGACTGCAGTTACTCTCAGATTTGAAGGTAATATAAATAACTAACAGATCCCCTGCTTAGGGAAGGGGCAAGGCCAGTGAAGCATTAATGCTTCCAAAAAGACCTGAGGTTTCTGTGGTGAATTCTCATTCCCTAAAAATGCAGCTGTAGAGCAGCTGCTGGCAGCTTAGGCTCTGTCCTGTAGCTATGCTGGGATAGGGAGAAGGTCATGGGAAGAGTTGGCTGGGACTGTAGGAAGCTGCTGTGCAGGATATTCTTGAAGTCCTGTGCTAATGGGCAGCTTAACCATCCTTGCTGTTTCAGAGATCTGGAATAACTCCCAACAAGTTCATCTACAGTGCCCTTATTTCTGCTGCTGTGAGGCAGCTGGATTACAGCTACCTGACTGAGATCCTGCGAGACATGAGGAACAGTGAGGTACCCCCCAATGAAGTTATCATACGCCAGCTGGAATTTGCAGCTCAGTACCCTCCAAAGTTTGACCGGGTGAGTAGCTGTGACCTGGCTGCAGGGTGAAGAATGCCAGCATGGGAGGGGAAGTGTAAATGGCTGCCCTAATCCTTTTATTGTGGTGTTGTCTGATGGTTTCTCAATAGCTATTTACTAAATAGCAGCTTGTAGCAACTGCACACTGGTATTACATGATCTCTGTTCTAACAGAAGCTTGTTTTGTTGGACTTTTATTTGCAGTATAAGTCAAAGAACCCATACTTGGAGAAAATTGATGGCTTCCGTGGCTACTACTACCGGTGGTTAAAAGTAATGGCAGGAGAGGAGACCCCCCACCCCTGGGAAAAATACAGAACAGCTAAACATTGCACAGATGAAACTAAAGAAGAGGCTGTGCAGGGGCAGGTAGGGCACAGTGCTCCAGCTGAGCGCTGAGTCCAGCATACTGCACTGGAAGAGCTTGGACTTTGCACCCTTGAACTGCTTCCTTGTAGTAAAGCTGTGTTGTAGTTTCAGGAACTCAAGTTCTTGTGATATTTACTAAATAAAATATTTGTCCTGTTGTAAGGAGAAGCAAATCTACTGTCAGTGAATTTGCTTAAATGCAGAGAATTTAACTACATAGGTTGTAGTTTAGCAAACTCTATGCTAAACAAGTCTTGTGACAAAGGAGAAACAATTCAAATTTAACAGTGGTTTAGTTCAGGGCTAGTTTTGTCTTTCCTGCATTGTTATGTGTATTTGAACATCTAAATGTGGCCTGCAAGTCCATAGACTGCTGGTGTTCCTAACTCGATCTCTGCATTAATTCAAGTTAAAAAGCCTTAGTAGAGAACTGCAGTGAAGCTTACTGCTCATCAGAAGAGATCTTGCTGCAGAACTGTCCTGTTTCCTTTCCCCATAAACCTTTAAATTCCCTTATTTGAGGGAAAAAATTGATAGGATTTTGTTAAACAACTTGCATATAAAATATCTCATGGGAGACAGAGTTGCCTTAAAAACCAAACACCTTCACAACAGGGGTACAGGTTTGCCAGAAGATTGGCCCACTGTGTCAGGAAGGCAGTCTTTATTTTAAAATAAGCAGCTACACAAAAAGCAACTCCAAAACTACAGCCTTTGTGTGTATGACCCAGGTGAATTTCCAATTTAATTGCAATACAAATATCCAATCGCACAGAAGGTAGCTGTAATTGCACTCGTAGTCCATTGTATTGGGTGATATGGCTCAGAGTTCAAAAGGTGGTCTGTCTCCTTCACCCAGAACAGCCTCTGCATCCACAGTGAGTGCATTCAATGATTCTCCCCTGGAAAAGAAACATGACAGGGATATTTCAGGCCAGCTGTTGGGAGCAGGCAGGCCAGCAGGCATAAACCTCAAAGCAGAGGCTGCCTTTTGGAAGAAGCCCCTTTAATGCAGAATCTACAGTCTAGTTTTTTGTTGTTTCCAGTACGTTAACAACTCTAAACAACTGCATGCCAAAGCTGATAGTTACTTTAAAAGCAACTAGATGTTAACTACTAGCAAAAGGCAGGAAGCGTTGGAGCTGAAGATGCTTCCAGAAAGAAAAACAATGCCTCCTCTGCTGTCCATCAGCTGAGTGAGGCTAGAGTGGCTACTGCAAAGGTCCAGACAGAAGGGCAGGAACAAGCTGAAAATTCTTACCACTTCCAGCTTGCTTTTGGGCACTCTACAGATGCAGTTGGTTCCGAAGTTGGTGTCCCGCGTCTGGATGCACCGCAGGCAGCAAAGGTTCTCATAACCCTGTTTCTTCCACTTTGCAATCAGGTTTTTGTCAGCGTACCCTTCCTTGATGCAGTATTCATAAAGCTCTGTAGAAGAGCAGACACACGTAGCTCCCATTAGATGTTAAGATGACTCACTATAAGGAATTTCTAGCTGTACCGACCAGCTGTTGGAGCTGCACAGATGTCAGCCTTCCCTCCACCCTCCCTACCCCGAATGCTAATCCTCCTCAGCACCCCAGTTCCCATGCCTCTGCAGGCAGATGTCTCACTGCATCCTATTTTCCCTTATTCAGTGCCAACCAACTTGTGTTTCTCACCTCTGCTGATAGCTTTTCTTTTATAGAAGAGATCGAAGATGTAACGTGTTTTCTGATGGTGGATTCTGAAGATAGGCCAAAGGGATTCCACTTTCCTTTTCCCTTCGTGAGGCTCAGTCTCCGCTGGGAAGGAATACAAACATGACATTCCAGCTAATTCTCCTAGGCTGCCAAATTACTCCCCCAGTCACTTCGGAATAAACTGTTCTAACAACATTCATAACTTTATTAGATTATAGAGTTAAGAGCAGAATGTCAGGGAGAAAAATGTGATGTGACTCCTTGAGGAAATGAAAGTAGAAAGAAGCCGAGGATGATGTGACATCCCCTGGGATGGAAGGTGATTCTGTGTATGCCCTGACTTGTCAGACCAGTGTGGACAGGAACTACCAGCCCATCCACACATGCCAATGAGCTTCAGTCAGCTTGGCTACAGAGTGCCCCACAACACCTGTACCCCATTGCTGCAGGCACAGATACAACAAATGCCACTTCATATTCATGGAGGTCCCAAAGCTCATTTGAGGTGTCCACCCCTGACAGCACCCAGCTCTGCTGTGTACCTTCTCTCATCTTCTGATCCAGCTCATCCAGCGTGGGCTCGATCAGCTCCCAGCCGTCTGGGGGCGGCTTCCTGCTGCGCTTCACTTTGGGCATTGCCTTGGAAATGAAGGAGCTTTACAGGGAGGAACCTGGAAGCCTCGAAGTTCAGGAAAACACTGGGACAAAGGAAGCGAAAGGAGTTGTCAGGGACATTCTCTCCTAAGATTCCCGTGCCCCTTCACCATTCCCTTCTCAGATGCTTTATCGATGCCCAGCCTCACCCAATGCAACCCTCAGGACGCGGGGAACCGTGCAGCGAGCGCTGAACCCCGCTGCCCACCGCGTCCCACCAGATCCCCCCCCCGCCTTCCGCCAGCCCCAACCACCCCTGGCAGACGGCCGCCAGCCTTCGCAGAGCCCTCCCGAAAGGCCCGGAGCGGCTCAGCCCGTGCCGGCAGCAGCACAGCAGGGCTCCGAAGGCGCCGGTCCCGCTCACCCACCGAGCGCCGCCGGTCTCCGTCGCGCCGCCTCTGACGTCACTCGGGGCCTCACCGCCCGCCCCGCTGAGGTGTCCGCGGCGCTGCCTGAGAAAAAAAAAACCCTCCCCGCCCTTCGGCCCTGACGTCCCGCTCCTCAGCGGGGACAGAGCAGGAATGCGGCAGTACGGGGAGACGTGCGGCCTCGCTCCGCGCTGTGGATGAGCGGAGGGGCGGCGGGGGCGGGGCAACCCTGCGAAGGGGCCTCGCGGGTGGCGGGGCCCGGGCGGGCGGAGAGCAGGGGGGTGGGGCGGCTTCCGCTTCCGGGTCGTGGCTGGGGCCGGGGGGGCCTCGCTGCAGCTGCCGCAACCGCCATCGTCGCGATGCCGAAAGGAGGTGGGGGCCGGGCGGGGGGCGGCGCGGCGCTCGGTAGCGGGCGGGGGGAGAACGCGACCTTCCTTGCTTCAGGACGGGGCTCTGGTCCTCCTTATCGCACGGGGGAGAATCCCGCCCCTCGTCACCTCGTGGGGCGCAGAACCGGCCCTCGTTGCCTCTCGAGGGGCCTCGTTCCACCTCGCGTCGGCTGCGGATGGCCGGGAGGAATAGAGGTGTCCTTCCCCCCCCCAGCTCGGGCCTTGGGGGCCGTCTCTCCTCTCCCACCCCACCTTACTGAGGGTCCCGCTCCCCCGCCCGGCTTTCAGGTCTTTATGGAGGAGGGATTTGTGCGGAGCTCCCCGCGTTGCAGCCACGCAGAGGCAGCTCCTGTGCTGCCTGGCCGAGCTTTGGGGCCCTGGCCGAGCCCTGGGGCTCCGCAGCCCGCCCGTCTCGGTGCTCTCACGGCAGCGGCCGGGCAGGAGCAGCTCTACGAGGCAGCGGGGCTGGGCCCGGCGTCGGGGGCTCAGAGCGCTCCTTTCTCTCCTTTCTTGTGGCTCCGAGGAGCGGGTACCGACTTGTTCTTGTGATTAAGGAGATGTAATGAGGGAATGACACCGTCAGGTCTGAGCTGGATCCACCCAGAACCTTCTCCAGATGCACCATCTGCATAATTGGCTCCTGTGTGAGCGTTTATGAAATCCCAGGCACGTTCATGAATGTAAGCCCGGCCTCATCATCTTCTCTGTAGTTTTCGCCAATTTATTTCATTAGCATTTCCCAAGCTTTAGTTTCATGAAATCTGCGTCCCAGTTTATATTTTCTTTAAGCTCTTTGTGTTGTATTCACTTGCGCGACTTTAGGAGGTGGATCTGAAGCTTTCCTGTATTTTTGTGAAGGCAAATAGCTGTGGTGGGTTTTACTCCTGGTTACTTTATGTAAATGCCGTGTAGCTGAGCTCCCTCTGCTCTCTGTTTCATTGTATGTTTCAAGGTGATTCTTTCCAACCTTTCTTTTCTTGGGAAAAGAGGGATCTTTGTGTTTTCTCACCCAAAAAATTAGGAGGAGTTATTGTAATTATATTGTTGGTGGCAGAGAAGTGGACTTCTGCAGTCCATTTAATATAAAATAAGGGGGGTTAGGTAGCTAGCAATACATTTTGTTACAGAATTACTTTTGATTATTTTGTTCATTTGTTGAACGCTTTGCTTCAAAATGAATGCAATTCCTTCACTGTTTTTTTTTTCCATTCTCTCCCATTAAAATTCCTTCACTGTGCTGTTTGAAGCTGAAGACATTTATTCCAACACACGTGCCTCAGACATCAGGCATTTGTTCTGCATTCGAAATCTGCAGATTGTATTCAAATGCACTTTGCAGGGGAGAATGAGAATCATCAGCCCTGTTTTCCAAATGGGAAAGTGGGCACGGACCTGCACTGGCACACATGGGGTCTGTGCTCAGCTTGCCTGGAGTGGGGGCTGATTCTTCAATTTATTTCTTTTCAAGCGTTTGTTTTTAAGGTAATTTCTCTGCAGCTGCTTTTCTCGACTGCGTGGACATTCACAGAAATAACACTGCTGCAATTCTTCAATTCTGAGCCTGGTGTAAAATCTTTCTGCTGAGCAAGGAGGGTGCCTGGCGTATGTTAACTTTGTAGCACAGCATTGCTTCGGTCTGTTTGGATTTGTGTGGTGCTGCCTGGTGTGTCAGGTACCTCACTGTTGTTGCTTTTAGAGTGATGTCATTTGCCAGGCAGTGATGTAATGTCTCCTGGCAGCTCTCATCCCCATCGTGTTGCTGGTGCCACGTGGGGTGGTTGGGAGCAGGGGAGCTGAAAGCACAGGTGTTGGGCTGCGGCAGAGCTTTGGTTGCATTTAAGGTTTGAGCACCCATGAGCTTCCAAAACAGTACAGAGAATTCTGTTTTCTACCTTTCCTCATTTCATGGAAGGAAAACGCCTGGGAATGTCTGCAAGGCTTTGTAGCAGGGTTTGGAGAGAATTTATTCCATGGCTCAGCTTTTACCAAGCTCAGTGTGTGAGAGTTTGCTGATTAGGAGAACTGGTCAGAAAATGTTGGATTTCTAAAGCCTGCCAAGGCAGTCTGCTCTGATCCGTCCTGTCCTTCCAAGTCCAGCAAACACATCCAGGCTGACTGTGAGCAGCAGGGTGGCCATGATGGATCTCTCCCGTGTGTCCTGCTCTCCTTTTTGCACCTCTTTGAGGTTTCCTTGTCCCTTACAGGTGATGTGGGGAGAGAGAGGAGGGAGCACATGGCTTTCCTGCTGCTTGGCAGATGAGGACCTGCAGGAACAGAGCTCCCTCATCTGAGCTGGTTGTTCTCTGCTGGTCCGTGCTCCAGTTGTGCTTTGAGCTCTCCAGCTGGCTTTTACCAGCAGCTTTTTGAGCTGTAACATAAATGGAGCAGCAACCTGCAGGAAGCAATGATAGGGTTGGAAGCAGAGCTTAGCATGGCAGTCTGACCAGCTGAGCTGGCTCTCCTCTCTTCCCAATTTCTGGAGCTTGTTTTCATTTTTCCTTATAAAGCAGTAAAACGTGGAGGCTCCTTTTAGTAGTTCCTCAGTTCTCATTATCATTCCCGAAGCTTTTGTCCAATTGGCTTCCTATTTTCTCTTGGCACAGCCTCAGTGCAGGGGAGGGGCTGAGGAGACGAGCTTGTTGGGGTAGCTGGCTGTAACAGCTGCTGCCACGGAGCGCGCTGCAATTCCTGCTGTGTTGGAAATGCAGAGAGCAGGGCTGGGGCTGAGAGCAGGGCTGGGGCTGAGAGCAGGGCTGGGGCTGAGAGCAGGGCTGGGGCTGAGAGCAGGGCTGGGGCTGAGAGCTGCTCGCCACTCTGCTGGGTGAACTTGCAGAGTTGAGGTGGTGTGTAGGTGGGCTCCAGTGCCTCTGAATCCAACCCGAGTGAGAAGAAGGAATCGATTCTCTGAGTGTCTTCCTGTGGAATAGTAATCCCTGTTCTCTATGTAATAGGTTCAAAATTCCTGGAGTATTTCGTTGAGACAGGCAAGTCCCACGTGTCTTTGTTTCGTTGTCAGAGCAGCTGTTTTGGCTTGTCTTCTGTGCATCAAAAAGCTGGAGCGTGTGCTGAAGGAGGAGTTAAGCATCAGGAAAACTTATCACTAAACTATTTATTTTCCTTATTTATTTCTGTTTGTGCAGGTAGAAAAGGAGGCCATAAAGGCCGAGCGAGGCAGTACACAAGTCCTGAAGAGATTGATGCACAGCTCCAAGCAGAAAAACAAAAGGCAAGGGTACGTATTTGCCTTCGTTCTGTACTCACTGTTATAAGCCCTGCCTTGTGCAGCATGCTTCATTTGCAGTTCATGAGAAATGCCAGCTTAATCATTCAGTGGTTGCAGCATGGATTCTGAATGCCTGTGGCTGGGGAGACCCCACAGAGTGGTTCAGCCCAGTTCTTCACAGAAGTGAGGCCAGGTTGGTCATCCAGTCAGAGCTGTGAAGGTTGCAGGGTAAGGAAGACAATCACACAGCAGCTCTAGGCATCCTTGCCCTCAGTAATTTGTCATTCTCCAGTGTAAGCTCACTTTTTTATTCCTGTTCTGCAGCTTGGCTATGGAGAAAAGAGGCTCACATGTTGACTTCTTTTCATATACAGAAATTGCCATGTTTGCTCTCCTCTTCTAATCTTACCCAAGTTCCTCTGATTTCTTTCTGTACACACGGTTTTACCTGTGGCTCTGACCTGTAGGAAGATGTAAAAGCACTTTCTGGCTTGAGTTCCTTTTTTGTGCACTTCTGTGCCCCAGCACAGGATCGTAGTCCTCCCTCCCCTGCAGCTACTGGACTGGTATTAGAAAAGGCACGACTACTTCTTGCAGAACTTGCTCTCTTTGTGCTGCCAAATTATCTCTGCTATGATGGCACTCACTGCTATTTTACTGTGACTTTCTGAAAGTGCTGCCTAAGCCCAAATGCACTCTTCCAGCTGAAACCTCACAGCACTGACAGCAGCAGGATAATTATACCCCACGTAGGAAACACTGATGAGCAAATCCCAGAAAAAGATCAGTCCTTCAAGCAGTTTTGAGCTATATTGCTGGCTCCTCTTGGATGTTTTAATTGTGTGGTTTGCTGCTTAGCCAGATACTCCAACTTTGATGCCTTCTTCCAAAGCACAGCTCCTCTTGGTTTGTTTTCTGATTGCATCCTCTTGGTTTCATGCCATCTTTCCAGCTACAGAAGTCACTTATCATTCTGGCCCTGTTTCTAGAATGATTCCAGCTCCTGCTCGTACTGTGTCATTCACAACTTTAAGTTCACTAACTTCTCTGTTTCCAAGCTATTAATAAAAAAGCCAACTGGGAACAGAACAGAACCAGCTGCCTGCAGGAACCCCCATGAGGTGTCTGTCTTGTTGCAAATAAAAAACCCTCAGAGCAGTGCTTTATAGAAGGGTTTCTTGCTGTTTTCTTTGTGATCATCCATACCATGCAACGATGGTTACATCTAGCCCAGTTTCATTGGGGGAAGCTTATAAAAACTTTACAGAATTACTCCTCTTTGTGCCTGGAGTTGATCTGCTTTGGCAGTCCCTCTGTTGAGGGATATTTGGTAATGGTAAAGCAAGCCATTCACACCCTTGTTGGTTCTTCTAATCTTATCTTCTAGTGATTTACAAATTAATTCCTAGATTCTGCTTAGTAAAAGCCGTGC